GTTAATAATTAGAACTTTAAAAGCTATTATATTACCATCTTGGGAGACTTAAAGATAACAAATATGATGAATGTTTATGAGTGATCATGGAGCAGGTGTAATTGATGAAAAGAAACTCAAATTAAGTGATGTTGTGCTGTCAAAAAAACTTTTTTCTCTTGTTTTATAAAAGACTTTGTAAACAACGACAATTTCATCGCACTTAAATCTCCAGGTGAGCATCAGTAATGAATTTTTCCATCGCTCTGTCTTTCTTTGCGGAAGTAAATGAACATAAGTCGATGGGGAAAGAAATAAAACTTTTTCAATTTTTCTTTTTCTTTTATTTTCCATCATATTGCATAATATAAAAGAGAACTTTACGCAATAAAACGTGTTTCTGTGTAGCACCTCAAATTTTCGCGCATTCTGGCTGACAAGTGAAACTTGAAAAGATATCTAGAACAGGAAAATAATGCAACCTTAATGCGACAATAAAATTTCAAAGAAATTTTTAATACAAAAAGTGCTCGTGCATGAATCCTTATTATTTTCTTCCTGTACGTTTTTTATGGAGTTTTAAGGAGAATTGAAATAAAAATTCAGCACTTAATGAGATACATTTGAATATTTTAATAACTATCTCTATTTAAACTAGTAAGTTGGAAGCTGTTTAGATCGTTGATCCATAACTTTTCATAGTTTTGGAGTGCATTCTAAACTATTTAAACTTTTTAAATTGAATTCATTTGAATATAAAAATTATCTTCAAATCTTTGATGAAATGCTTCTTGAGCTTGAACAATTTCAATTATTATGGTTTGTATATTAAAAAATTAATTAAGGAATTTCATTTGCTACCACAAATATTCACTGAATTATTTAAGTAACTTTTCCTTTTTCTGCTTTTGATGAATTCATCTTCTTTTCGCTTTTCATTCTCGAGTTTGGGTTTTCTGCACTCAATTGAATTAAATCGAGGTAGAATAAATTCCCATAGAAGTATTAACAAGCTATAACACAAATTCTCAGAGAGCCTCGAATACTTGATAAACAAAATGAATTTTATGATTATGGATAAAAAGATGTGTTGGCATTAAGCACATCCGGAAGCTGAGTAGAAGGTAAAGAAAAGGAGAGGAAATTTTGGAGCTGAGCATCGTATGTTTAATTAAAGATGAAACAAAAATTGGATCAAGTTTTCGATGTGCTTTAAATGAATTAAGTTTTAACATTCACTTCCCATACCCTGACTATGCGCTTGAATCTAACTTAGGCTTAAAAAACGTTGATTTAAAAGCTTTAAAACACAATTTTCTCAATATTTCCTTTAAATCTACGTTTAAAGTTTCCAGCATACAGTTCATCCATGAAAAAGTTTTTATTTTATTTTTAATTGCTTTGTTTCTTTAACAATCTCTATTTATATTTTTTCTGGCTCATTAAATTTCTTCAATGTCCCTTTTTTCAAAAACAATACCGACAAAAGAAAATAATCGCCGACGTGCGTAATTCTTTCGGCAATTACCTCAAGGCTTATTGCGTATTAAATACAGGATGTTGTCAAAAAGACTTAAAATGTTTATTTTTTCAATAATGATCTGGTTTAAAAGTTCCATTTACTTCTTGTGCTTTGGTCCAGCATTGACAAATGTTTAAACATGAACTAGAATCCGCAAAAAAACTTTAGAAATTTATTGACAAATGCTGGTCGACTGTGCATTTTAAATTGATTTAGTGTCACTCAATTAATTTTGCTACAAACGTCCTTCCACTGTTTTGTGATTTATTGATTTTGACTTTCAACAAAATAAAATTTCTGCAGCTGGATCAACACAATCAATTTTATTTGATAAAACGGCAAGAGAGTATAACCTATGAGCCTTCAAATGCAGATAATTAATTGACGAATGTGACTGTTAATTTATGTTGACGCAATAAATAAGTGGAAGTATCCTTTAGTTTGTTTTCAGTGTCTTTTTTTTTGTTCTGCAAGTTCAATAAGATTAATTCTGAAAAATCAAGTAAATAAGGTCAACAAACATCATAACATGCATTAAACTCCCAATTGCAATAAATAACATCTGACAGATAATTCAATGCCAACATCATTATTTTCCAGCACAAAAATCCGTATCCCACAAGTGAAGTACATCAACTATATCTGCGGTAAAATAGTAAGTAAGAAGAGAACCACCAAGTAACTTGAAGTCGTGTTCAGTGTAATCAGATCTATGATTGATATTTCAGCTGGTCTTTGGAAGGAAGTTTGCCTTAGTTTGGATTCAATTTCCTTCATTGATATTACAATAAGGTCAAAATCACATCATCCGGAAGGAAACAGAGACTACATTGATGTTTTCTGTGAGCTGCAACTTTGTATTGTAACTCTTGTCTCAAATTGTTCAATGATAGCTGGATATAATACAAATAAGAGGAAATAGATGACATTTATTTGTTCAGCTTTAAAATTTCAATTCACGGAAAATGCAATGTTGGTTTTCATGAATAAATTTAAATAATGTGATTCCCAATGAACTAGAACTTTTACTGACGAACTAGCTGCTTAATCAAACCTTGTCATAATTTTAATTAAATTCAATTATTCCATCGTTCATTCTCCTTTGGATATTGTGGTATCTCAACTGATATGAAATTCGAGAAAGCAAAGCATCGAAAATGGAGCATAAAGGAGCATGAATATGACTGTAGAGTTTTGACTAATGAAAAACGGGTAGGAAATTTTACAGCACTTCTATTTTTCCCTTAAAGCGTATTTTGGTAAAGCTAATGCGGCAAAAATTTCATTTATTTGGTTGAGTAACTTCCTGTAAGAAGTGAAGAAAAACTTTTCTAGCCTTTAGACATGATGTTTACGCTCCTTTGAATGAGTTACTTACTATAGCTCTTGTGTTTTGTTTCAGGTAGTTTAAAGACTTAAAATAAATTGAACTACTGATACACTTTGAAAACTTTTGGCAAATCTTCAAAAGTGAATGATTAGGCTCTTAACAAAGCTTTTATCACAACTTGGTGGAAAATCACTTACTTCCATCATTAATCTATAACTATAAAAGTCATTCAAATCTAGTGACACACGAATTGCAGGAAAACAAAACTGTTGATTTATAGAAAATGGATGCTTTAAGTGTCAATATATTTTCAGTCATGTATGGCTCCAGATAAATACTTAATACTTCTTTCCTACAATAAAATTACTCAAATGTCACCAATGGAACTGACAGATGAATCTCTAGAGGCAAAAAACTAGCTTATAGTTACAGAAATAAATTTATTTGCAGGATTTTGAGTTCTGTTCTATCATATTGCAACATCATTCTAGATAAAAGAGCATCTGTAAATATATGGCATTAGAAATGTCTACCAGAGATAAAATTAACATTGCTATGCTTATTATCTTGTTTGGCCTTGAAAATAATATTTTGCTCTGAATTTTATTAAAGTCTTCTGGATCTTTTAACTTAATTTACAGCAATTTCTAATGTGCAGCTGCTTTAAATGCTCAACAAAGTAAAACTTTTCACATAAAAATCAATAACATCCTCCTTGAAAATGTTTTCAAGTTCAAGTATGGTCATGTGCATAAAATAACATCATTTAAAGCTCTTCGGTTACCAACAAAAGCATCCATTTGTGTTTTCTTTTGAAAGACATCATATAACAGTTGCTACTTATTATTTTTTTTTATTATGATGCATGAAACCAAATTTATTAAAGTTAAGTGAACTGAAATTTATGTTCCATGCAGTAAACTTTATGCTACAAATAGGAAAATGAGTCTTGAGATTTATATGAATATTTACATATCGAAAGGTTCCATAATCATGATAATGTGGCATCATATGTTATTGTACTTGGTTATGTTTATTTTTTAACCCATTGTGGATGTAAAGTCAATTTTACTGCCTTTTATACACAATGTTAGATACTAGAAATGAATTTTTATCATTTTATGCAGACATAAAATTAGAGATTGAGTTGGAATCGATATTCCCTTTTTAAAGATGTTTCCTCAACCTATCCTGGGAGTAAATAAATATTATCGAGTATAAATCACGACAATATTGGGTTACATGTCGTCAATCATTGTATGGTTCCGGTTCCTTTTCATTTATCATTTAATTTCATGATATTGTTACGACGTGGAAAAAGAAATGAGATTTTAAATGAATGACTCCCACAAGGATCTTAAGGAAATTTTTATTTGATGTTAATGTAACCATTTATGTCCAAAAAGGTCATTTATAGAGCTATCACGTAAAGGTTATTGTTAAATTACTGGAACTTTCACAGTAAGAAGTTACATAAATTCTAGAATTAATGTTTGATCAGCAAATGTTGACGCTACACAAAAGGAACTAAATCTGAATGTTTCTATTTTTGCTTCTAATCGAATTCATTGTTCTTTAATGCTTTATTAATTGGAGGTCACGTTAAAGAAACATCAGAATATAAAGTTCAAGGGTAAGTTGATTGATGGCAATAATATTTGTAATTTCATGATGCACGATTAGGTCAAATTATTGCATTGCTTAAATGGTGAAGTATAGTTTAGGGGCCGTTCACTTATTACGTTACGCAAAAAAACAACTTTTTTCACCCCCCTCCCCCCCTTGTTACAATATGTTACAACTCACAACCCCCACCCCCCTGAACGTTCATAATTTATTTTATTTTGAAAATTTTTCATAAATCATTAAAATGGTAGAAAATTTAAAAAAATGTTTTTGGTGTGAATTAGTCTTTTTTTTTTAGAGAACGTAATAAAAACGTAACGAACAGCCCCTTAGGAAAAGTGGATTCTTACATGTCCATGCAAGACAAACATTTATTTCTCGATCGCAATTTTTGTTTAAATTTTTCATGAAACAAAATTACAGGTAGAGTTAAAAACATAAATGTAGTAAATTATAAGAGCATTTTAGAAATAAAGTTTCTGAATTATTAGGCAAAATGACAATATTTAGGTATCAATAATTCAAAAAACTTTTAAATTCTCATTTGCATTGGAGACAGTTGCATAATTTGTATATTTAGCCTGTGATGGATTTTTGGCACATCAATTACATCGCAAGGAAGCACAAGATTACATTGTAAATCAACATTCATATTCAATCGTTAGAAATTGAAATATATTCAACTAAAACTTGAAGGCAGCCATTAAAATGACGGTAAGAATTCATGAAATATTTTAAATAAACCTAGTCCTTACTAGACATCATAAAACCCTAAATCTAAATATCTTTTAAACTCATCTTTAATTGTTTCTTTTCTAAAGGTCGTCTGTCAACTGTTCTCACTTCCAGATGAGATACTCATAAAAGTAATTCTCATGTCTGAAATTAAAGACATAAAGAACTGCATGCTTGCTTCAAAAGAACTCAGAAATTTCATCTTTAACACACCTGAGATTATGAGAAAGGTTCAAATTAATTTAAAGCCAAGTTTCAATGAATGGGTAGAAGCATCAACGTTCCTTAAAGACAGAGGAAGTGCTTTAAAAAATTTAAAATTTAAATTATTTGATCTTCCAAGACCGCTCATAAAGTTTATCTTGGAACAGACACCAAATTTAGAGGAACTTATTTTAGTTCATACACAGCCAACTGTCAAACAAGTTCCAGATGAGATGGACGAGCAAATTGATGATAATTTACCAGAATTGCCAAAATTGAAAGCTTTAGAACTGGAACTGTGTGACTTAAGAGACTTTCTTAAGAATATCAAAAGTATTAAAACTCTCGAAAAATTCACAGTCAGTTCAAAAAGTTATGAAGACCCCAAATTGCTGATGAGATTCCTAAACCAACAACCGAATTTAAAGGAACTGACTATGAATGCTACAAAGGAAAATGAATACGTAAAGTTCATTAAATATTTCAGTTCTAAGGCAAACTTCCAGTTAAGAACATTTAAACTAAAGTTATGCAGTTACAGAAACGAGCGATACATTGTCGACTTCCTGAAAACTCAAACTGAATGTTTAGAAGAATTGGAATTTAATGAAGAGCCTGAAAAGGATGTTCTCCAATTAATTTTTGGACAGTTTAGGAAATTGAGAAAATTTTCGATTCTCAAGACTGGCTACAGACCAATCCTGTTCAAGAAGAGTTTCCCGCCAAATCTAATCGCTACATTGACGTATTTTGAAGGAGATTACTTTGTGGATTTACATCAGTTGATTACAAAGTTCCCAAACATTGCAACTTTAAAGTGCAAAAAGTTGAAAGCTGATGGAGGAAATTATGACAAGATAACAACATTAGAAGTAAAGTTTTTGGACCTCGAAATATTCATGAATGTGACATTCCCGAATTTAAAGAATTTCTCAGTCACCAAAAACATCAAGAACTGCTTTAATACTGATTCTTGTGAGGCATGGAAGAAGTTTGCTAAGAACATTGAAAATGTCGAGAACATCACAGTCAAGTATGCTGGAGATCGCTATGAATTCTCCGATATCGACTTCTTTAAAGGTCTAAAGATTTTCCATAATCTACAAACATTTTCGTACAGACACATGCTGTATGGTCAATTATCAGACAAACCAGTAAGTGAGAATGAAAAGATCAAGGAAGATAACTTCTACTTAAAGGTGCTGATTGATGGAAATAAGAAAACAGTCAAAGTATCGAACTTCCTTGTTGATAGATACAAAGGAGCTTTAAAGGTATTATTTGACACTTTTCAAGGATATGAATTCATTGAATTCTGCTTTGAAGATATTTGGGAACGACCACTCAACTACAAAACTGCAATGACTTATTATTTGACAAGGAATAATAAGAGACCTACTGAATATAATGGAAAGAGCTTAAACAGAAAAGTTAAGTCGATTAGAAATTATTAGTTTTTTAAGAATATTTTTAAAGTTTTGTGCCAAAAGTTGCATCGTCTCTGCCTTAAAAGTTTTAAAAATAAATTTTAATTTAAAGCATGAAAAAATCTTTAAAAATAAAAACAATTTTTCAACAATGAACTGTACTGAGTAATAAAATCTTTAAAATCCACTTAAAGATATACAAAAGATTCTAAAGTTGTACCTTACAATGGAACTTTTCATATTTGGTATTCATCTACAACAATAGATTAAACAGCAGGATAGTCCACTTTATTCATTGAAGCTTGAATGATACCATAAAAATACAAGAATATATGGTTTTAATCCATCAAATGAACGAGCTTACAGAAAGTTAAAATCAACAGAAAAAAAAGTTTTTCAATTTTCCACGCTGCAGTTGGCAAACATAACTCCTTTATTTCTTTGAATTTCGAGATGATTATTATCATTACATGAATAATTGAATTTCCGTTCATGTTTACACAAAATTCATTTTACAGTCTAACTTTTTTATGTTTTGACAAAGTGAATAAAGTACAACACGTAATGAATAAAATACTTTTCAATAAAACTTTTGTATGGACTTCATGAATGGACGTAAATTTCCTCTTAATTCTAATGAAACTTTATGTTTTGAGTGAAAAAGTTACGGGAACAAAATAATTTTCATTAGAGTCATTCAATTTTTATACAATAAAGTCTGCGGACATTCAACTTTTGATACTTTAGTTGCCTTTTCGTCTTTTAATTTTTTTGTTTTCGTCTTGTGGAGCATGCAGAAATATTTTATTGCTTTTGCCTTACTTTTTTTGTTTACAATTTAATGGTTTGGTCTTATTTTGTCATTACTTCTGTTTGTTTTCATAGCTTTTATGAATGAGATGATTTTGAAGTACTTAAAAGATATTGAGAATGAAGGTTTTGATTGGTTTTGATAAGAACTCGACCTCTCGACTTGAGTTTGTATTCGAGTTCCACGTTTATGGCTCTAAATCTTAAGTATCTTGTTTTTAAAAAAATTATTAAAAATGCGTTTAGATTCCAAAAAACTCAGTCAATCCTTTCTCTCTTACTCCTCAATCGGACTTCTTTAACCTTATATCCATTGAATATCTTACAAAAAATTTGTATTAACCATGTCGAAGAATGTTATTCGGGTCAAATTCTTTTCAGTACGCAATTCTCATTAATTTATTTGAAAAATCTACAGTACGTCGAAAGATGTCTGACTTTATGCTCAACATTGTCTTGAAAGGAACACGAAGAAGTTGACAAGTCATAAATTTATCGCTCAAAAAATTTCCTATCAAATTAAATTCGGAAGTTAACGTCAAGTCATTGTATCATAATTTTGATAAATGATGCTAATTGTGCTATGAATGCTGACAGCAGCAACAATAAATTCGAATTTTGCTGTTTCCTTTGAAATTATTAATCTTGAATTTCTTTGTAATCCTTAACAAAGCATATTTGGTTATATTATTTTGCCATTATATATTTTTAGTATGAAGCCACAAAGTCTTACAGGAAATTAATAATTGCCATCAGCATAATCTCATACTAACGACTAGTATCAACAAATAATTTTAATTTTGGGTCCTCAAGTTGTTGATCTAATTTATTTTCGAGTATGCTTTTATTTGCTCTTCTTCTTATCCTGCTCGACTTTAATCCACAAACTTTTACTGAATGTCCTTATCAACTTTTTATGTATTTTCTTACTTAATGAAACACTTAAGATCGGAAGTAAGCTGATAAAGTGTTTTGATAGTCTTCTGACGTTTACATGAGTTAACCCGACCCCAGTTTGATATGCAAATAACAGTTGTATGGGCGTTTCCGGTCGAGTTCCTGAAATTACTTGATGCTCATCTAGATAAATTAACATCACGTCTTTTGAAATAATTATCTTTCTTAACGACAAACTAATTAGTAATTACTCGTGGAAAAAAACATCTTTCAGACAATAAAGTTTGTTGTGCTGCTCACTTTTTATTGTCCCAGTCGTCAATAGACGATTATTTTTTGTTGATCGATTTTTCTTTTCGTTTTTTTTTTAGTCTAGAGTCATTTTGTGGGCTTTAATTTACCGTAGCAAAGTGAATGTCTGAGGCTATTTTCCAGCTTCTTTCTAGAAGTTGCTTTATTTTGCTTGGTATTTTTTGATAGATTTCTAGCTGGTCCCATGACTGGAAGCAAAGGTAGTAACGTAGCTAGTGGTTCGATCAAGCTAGATTACGAAAAACTGACTTTTGAGAAAACCATCAACAATCCATGCAGTCAATAAACTTGAAGCATTATTCGACAAAAGTTCCATTGTTATTTGTCCACATCCAGTGTACAAATAAAGATTTCTTTAAGCGTCTGAAATAGCATACAAATTAGACTTGAATGAAAGGAAAAACTTAAAGCTAGAGATTAAGCTTCAAGTTACAAAAATTTTTGTCCCGTACTTACTTGCTGTTTATTTTGATAAAGTATCCTCAGACGATGAATTTATTTATATCACTTAAAGAGAGAAAACTTTTTGTGTCGTGAGATGCATGAGAGCGATTCCATTTGTCTAATTTTCTCTTAATAAAGATGTTGTTGAACTTAGTGCTATCCAGTAACAATCATATGAATTTAAAGACATTTGGAATTAATCGATAGTGAACGAAAAAGTTGCAGAACAATAAAGCAATTAAATGTGTATAATATGATATCTTGTGTTTGTACGGTTCCATTAATCGAGTAACATTTGGCGTTGAAGGTTAAATTAACAACTGCTGTGCTATTTAATGAATATTTCCTTAGGGGCCTTTCACTTATGACGTCCATAAAAAACATGTTTTCTAGACCCCCCCCCCCCCTCTGTCACAAAATTTCTGTAGAAAAAAATTTCCTTTATTTGAGCTGTCACAAAATCCTAGACCCCCCTTCCCCCCTTAAATGTTGGACGTCATAAGTGAACGGCCCCTTACTATGATTCTTGTATTTTTATTATAGATGAAGCAACAAAAAAAATAACACGGGTGGAAATCAGACTTTATTTTTCAACTTTCATGATATTTAGAACAACATTCATTGACGGTTCTTGTTATTTTTAAAGCATTTATTTGCTTTTATAGAGAAGGAAGTAATCAACTTCCACTAACAGCATAAAGTAAAAAATTTTGACAGTAAAACTCATTTCTTAAGGATTTATCCACTAATGATGTCTTTCTTGTGCCAACCTCGAGACTTGATCTTGATTTATTCGCATTCTTACAAATTCACATATTCTTACTTGTCTTTATCCTCAATTTTACTTCTATTGCTTAACTCTCGACTATACTTTTTCTATTACGCTAAATACGAAAATGTTAGACATCATTCGAGTTAGCATCAAAATATTTCCAGCTATTTTACCACCCATGATTCAACTTTCACGTGATTTAAAACAAATTAGCAGTGAAATTGGAAAACAAAAAAAAAATATTTTTGTAGATGTAGCAAGATCATAACAATAAACTAAAGCCGGAAAAATATTTTTATGACATCAACAACACGAAATTTTTGGCGACATCATGATTTCGTGTCACTGCATACGAACATTTACAAATGACTTACTAAAGTGCTTTGAATATTCGAAATCAATATATTGAGAAAATATTCAACTGTAATCAATGGATTTCTGAATTGAGAAACGAATTTCAAAGTTTGATTATATATGTATGAAGGCCATTCATCTGTTGTGTCCAAACTCTAGGAATTTTCAGTTTTGTTGGTTTAAACTTTTGAATAAAAATGATTAACGTTGAAGTAATGTTTTCTCTGATATCCAACCTGATATCATAACAGAATGAACTTTAGCGGTCCATAACACAGACACTAGTAAATCTGATGCTATCTACAGTTTAATTCACATAGACATCATTAGCAATCGACCATAAACAACTAAAACAATAAGATATTGTTTTCTTCCAACTGCACATTGTGTCAATAGCGCAACATTATATGAGCACATGCAACAATTGTCAATATTTACTCCCTCAATTATGTGAAGCAACTGAAACTGACCATGACAATAATGGCAATGCTAACGATAGAAAAATATTGACACAGTAGAAAGTGTAATTAAAATTCTTTTAATATCAACAGCATATTCTCATGACTGTAAGAGAATGTAGAAGAAATGGAATCTAGAATATGAAAATAATATTTAAGGACGTGTTTAGGAAGCAAATAATATCCGTTCACAGTGCATACCTAAGTTCAGCACACGCTGGCATAAATAGAATCAAGTAATTATCTAATTCCTATTAATACTCCTAATAATACTTCCTAAGATTTATTTTTGCACATTTATTATTGATTAAGCTTTATATTTATATTTAAAGGAACTCGTGCTCCTCTCTTCCGTTCAATTTACAGTCATTTTTAACACCACTTGAATTTAATTTGCAAAGCTTTGAAAAATATTATGTGAAAGTTTCCAGATGCCCGTGGAAATGATAGAAATGCTTATTTTTATGAGCTGCAATATAAGGAAATTATGCTTATAAATGTTTTGTGGATTGAAATGACTCAAGTTCTCTCTCAGCTGGATATTTATTTATACTTTAGATCTTACTTCAGAGAACATTAAAACTTTCTCTTCTGGACTCGCTAGTTTGAACTTTATGGCAGCAATATGAAAGCTTTATGTTTGAGAAAGTTTTAATGCCTCAAATTTTATGTCACATGTGGACTACACTAGGATCTGTAAAGATCCTTAAATTTGTCATTTTTGAAACTAATTTCTTAAAATATAAACAAATGTTGATTGTCAGTCATTTCATTGAATTATTTAGTGCCTGCTCATTAAACGACATTTTGAAAAAAATTCAATGAACAAGATGAGCATTCGAATTGATAAAAGGACCAAAATAACAAGTTGTAAGCTTATTACGTCTATTGAGATATTTTATGAATAACCAAACACTTTAAAAGCTGAAATAAACATTTTCATAGAATTATTATTTTATCACTTCAAGTTTACATCATTCCATTGATGTTGTTTACATTCAATTTTCTATTAAAACACTTCATTTTAATGTGAACTAGAAATATTCCTTTGCGAGTAATCCTTTATAAATTTATAATGACAAAGAGTATAGTTTCATAGATTAAGATCCATAAAACATTAAAATGTATCCTCAAGAGAAGATTAATTTAGAATCATTATCATATTCATAAATGTATTATTAAGTATTTCTATTTGGTATGAATTTTAATCTCGTTCTCTTTTACAGCAGCAATAAACAATGTATTCAATTTTGTAATGTGTTCACTCTTTTCATCTTTAATTCTAAAAGCTTCTTTGTGAAAAATATATAATTTATGAGCGTTTCCGAAAAGATTATAGACAGTTTTAGTAATGATGTATTAGTACGATATCATATAATTTTGGATATCTAGTTATGGTTTAATCTTGTTCTGAAAAACACTAAGGAATAACTTTATAATAAGTTCTGTGAAATCTCAAATGCGATTTAACATTAGCGAGTAGAATTTTTGAAAGCAACACGTTAAACCTAAGAAAAACCATCCTTAATAATCACAAATGTCATCACACCATTTAATTTATTCATCATTCAGGTTATTCATCGTCAAATGAATGCGTTAAGAATTAGCTTGAGAAAGTTTTTCAACTTTTTTTTATAATTTCCATTCTGAAACGTATTTTAATGACATGAAAAGGCGATGGAAATTAAAGCTATATTAATGTTAAGTGAATTGTAAATGAAAGAATTATCGCTATGGAAAACAAGTTAGCTCAAGCATCAATATACATTCTTGATATTCATTTAATTGCCGCTTCGAGAATTATAATATAGGAATTCAATGCTTCCATTCAACATCATCCTACGCTTTCATTCAGTGTAGACATAGAATGATGTTTGTAGGATAGTAAGGAAGGACCATTCACACTTCTGAATACATGAATTAATTTTTATTTAAACATTCATTACTGAGAATTCTGAAGTTATTTGAAGGTCATGTTATGTGCTGTCTGCATAAATTCAGGTCAATCAATTTGTGTTGGTGGCCGAAATTGGAACCTTAAAAAATCCTAAATGTAATATATGCTGATTATTTAATTAATGGACAAATAGCTTACGTGATGATGAGATAAGTTACAATCGTTGACGTCGTCTAGAATAAAAGAGAATGATTGATCTTGAGAATATGTGCGTAATTGGGAAAATCGATATGAAGCACAAAATGTGATTCCTGTCATTGGTATTAAAGTCTTAAAGACATCAACCTGAAATACATTAAAAATCAACGCAACTTACTCCGAACACTATTTTCCAATTAACGTCAAAGAAAATAGTTTGCAGCTTTACATTTCGAACTTCCACAAGCTTCAGCACATCAAAAAGAGATGCATTAACCGGCAAAGTATCAGATATTGAACTTATAGCTTTTGTGATGGAAATTTTAATGCTCTCAGCTTCATGTGTCGTTGAATGACCGATATATGAGACCATTGTTTTATACACAAAATGTATGATAATGTAAAACAAAGCCATGAATCCATTCAAGTAGTTTGTTGTGGTCAACGAAAGATGTGCAAATCCATAAAGTCCAAATGTATCGATTAACAAGATTGTTAGGATGGTTGGAATAAGGTGTAGTGTAAATAGAGAATTAATTATATCCACTGCATCACACAGGTTATGGAATAGCTCTGTGAACAGCTTTACGTCGAAAATTTTCTCAATGAAGTTTTTGGATCTAGAAAGGATTTATTTTAAAGTGAATTCTAGCATCGCTACTGATTATTCCTTACCTTATGAAGTTGTTGAACATTCTGAATCTTTCACGTAAAATGTAAGCAAACACGAAGAATTGTAAGCAGAACAAACACTCATAGGATAAGTGGATGCTGTACAAAATTTCAGAAATCATAGTTTCGACTGTAAATACATCATATACAAACCCAAGTAAAGCTACGACTGGAATTCTAATAATTAAAATTAATGCAAAAATTATTGACAATTTTTTCACAAATTTTCGTTCCTCATAAAAGTCATTTCCGAGTGATAAATAAGACAGCTTAACGTCTATTGAGTGCATTAATTTAAAGAACATTTTAATCTCATCCATTTTGCAGACTTGATAAATAAATTGTAAAAGTACAAAAGTCATTCCAAACAATAAAATCCATGTCCAAATTGAATCAGTAAAGAAGCTTCCTTCATGAATATCATAAAAATAATAGTGAGTGATATTTCCAATTATTGATGCAAGAATCACTATAACTGCACATATAGTTTGAATTATGCTACCTTTTGTGGCACTTAAGTATCCTTCAGTAACTGGATTTTCGAATGTTTGTGGAAAAAATCCTAAAAATCGTAGAAAAATGCAAAGAGGCTCAATTGATGTGTAAAAGTTCTCCATGCCTTAATATACACAAAACACTTCTGTTCTTTTTGGCTCTCGTGGACTTATTAATTATCTAATGGCGTTTCAAATTGATAACTGGAAAGTAAATATGAAAAATTAATATTTGGATATACTTCAATATTTTCATTACTAACACTATGATCAAATATGTCACAGTTGTTGATATTGTCTGAAAAAATGAATTAAATTTTAATAAAATGCTTAGTAAGCAACAAGTCAGTTTGAACTTTACACCAAGCAGGATATTCCAATTGATTGTGAGGAAAAATGTTCGAAGACTAAAGCTTCTTACATAAAATTCTTTCATGCAGTCACGCAACATGCTCCTTTGTAGATGGTTTTGTGGCAACTTATTCAACAACTTTGCAATAAATTCAATCAATAGTTCAGGCTCACGTGAAGTTGAACTTCCAATATATGCAATCAAAATTCTTAAAACATAGTTATTTGCAACAAAATATACAGTCACAATATTGAAGAGAACGTTCGCAAACAATGGTGAATTATGAAATGCAATAAAGATTCCAAATATGTCAATTATTAATGTACACGATAGAATTGGAATTAAGTGAATAGCGAACAAATTATTAATCATCTCTAGCCCATCACAAAGGTCATGAAATATTTCTCCAAAAATCTTGATATTAAAAGAATATTCTCTGAAATTCTCGAGTCTGAAATAAAAAATCATGATTTAAGCACATCAAGTAACTTAAAAATTACTCACCATAATAAGTCTTTCAATATCCTAAACCGTTCACGCAGTAAATAAGATATGAACACAAATTGAAGTGAGAAAATAAACACGTATAAGAGATATCCAAAATAGGCTAGTTCTTGAGCAAGCATGGATGCATTCGTTGTGTATCTAACGTTACATACCACAGCAAACACAAAAGATCCGAGATATCTAGCTGCTAATGTACCAATTAAAATTGCCGTGACTCTAAAAATCATTTTTCTTTGTCCGCTATGGTCGATTTTGATGAATAATTTATTAAACTTTTTGTCAATGCCATTCATGAAGTCAAAAAAGTTCCTAATTTCATTTGCTTTGATCATTTGAAATGTCAATTGAATAACAATCATTGGATATAGGAAAATTACAAACCATGACCAAACCATTATTTCTAAAAATGGCTGTCGTTCTGAAACGTATTTTACATGATTATCCACAACGAAAAGAATTATCAGAAAAAGAATCACAAATGTTATTGATGTTCTCAGTATACTCAAATGTGTAAATTTTAAATTCTGCTTTTTGACTGGCTTCACAAAGCTCATTGGCAATAAACTCAAAAATATGTTTGTGATTCTATAGAATTGTTCTATTGACGTGAAATAGTTTTCCATGGTCTATATTATTCCTGTCCGGTTGATTCATTAAGCATAACTAAAACCTTTGGATCATTTAAATTAAATGTTTAATATTCAAATGAAATTTCTATTAGAGTTTAATTATTTTTATTATGCTTTATAACTGTGCCTGTAATGCAATGTGACATGCTTTATTCTAGTTAGGAATTCATAAATGTTGATATATGCTTCTACAGCTTTACAAAGAATTTTCATTTAGTAATTTGATAATGGCGTTTGATATTGATACCTTAAAAAATATCGAAATCAAGCATATAGCTTTAGTATTTTAATTTAATTACTCACACTATGATCAAATACGTAACAGTTGTGGATACAGTCTGAAAGTGTAAACTATAAGTCAATATAAAGTTTTTAAAATATAACATTTGGACAAACTTTACCCCAAGCAGGATATTCCAATCGATAGTAAGGAACAAAGTTCTTAACTTGTATTTTCTCACTTTAAACTCTCTCATGTAATCCTGTAAAATATATCTTATTAAATGTGTCCGTGGTAGCTTGTTTAATAATTTTGCAATAGATTCAATCAATTTTTCAGGCTCTCGGGATGTTGCACTTCCAATATATGCAATCAGAATTCGCAATATAAAAGTTTTTAAAATGAAATAAAATGACACGAGATTATACAAGACATATGGATGTAAAGGTGAGCTACGAAAGACACTATGGATTCCAAAAATATCAATTATCAAAGTTGATGCCAAAACTGGAATTAAATGAATTGCAAATAAACGATTGATAGTTTCAACTGCGTCGCAAAGATCATGAAATATTTCACTGTAAAGATTGATTTTGAATTGAATTTCATTGAAGTTTTCATTTCTGGAAGTAAGGATTAATAAAAGTAAATTTAGATTTTTAAATAAAACCATAAATACCTTAATAACTTTTTTAAAGCAATAAATCTTTCTCGAACTAAATAAGTTGCAAATACAAATTGAAGAGTAAATAAAGTCGCATAAAGTAAGAAGACCAAATAACCAATCTCCTGAACCTGCATACTTCCTTGTGATGTATAATGTTCAATATTCAATATTCCAACCACAAGTGAACCAAAAAATCTTAATATTAAAGTTCCAACCATTAATAAAGTGACTATAAAAATTTTCTTCCTGTATCTTTGGTGATCAATTTTAATGAATAATTTATGGAATTTACTATCAATTTCATTCATAAAGTAGAAGAAATCTCTTATTTCCTTAGCTTTTGTTATTTGAAATATAAGTTGAGCTGTAATGATTGGAAAGATGAATAAAAGAAACCATGACCAAATCATCACTCCAAGGAAAGATTGCTTCTCAGTTGTAAATATAATGTTGTTCCTTATAATGAAAACTTTCAATATTAAAAGAACTACAAAAAGTATTGTAGTTCTGAATATACTAAAATATGTGAACTTTAGATTTCCTTTTCTTATTGGTTTTTCGAAACTTAACGAAAAAAATCCGAAAATATTTGAGATTCTATAGAACGGCTCAATTGACGTAAAATAATTGTCCATAGTTCTGTTCTTCTGTTTCTTTCTAATTAGATACTGGATTTTAACTGGATAATAAAATTATGAACAGAAGCTTAATCAATCTAATTATCACATAATCTAATATCTCATAATAGTCAATCTATCAATTACTAATTGGTAACTCAACAACAATTAACAATTTATTGGTTTTGATAATTTTGAAGCAGCTAGTAACATGATTGGTGATATATAGTCTGTAGATAGTGAACTTATAAACATGTTAAAACCGCATTAAATTCCAGATTTAAAGATTCCTTTCCTTCTATTTTGATCTTAAAACAATCAGCAGTTAAGTAGACAGTGGAGTTTGAAATTGGTAACTAAAATCAAAGATCAAAATCAATCTATTTAATAATTAAAATATTCATAATTCATCTACTCACACTATGATCAAATAAGTCACAATGGTTGAAATTGTCTGGAAAAAAATTAAAGATTTTAATAAGTTTTTTTTTCAAATGAACAGCAATTCATTAGATATTACGCTCAGGATGATATTCCAATTAACTGTGAGAAAGAAAGTTTGCAATTTAAAATTTCTAACTTGAAACTCCCTCATTAAGTCATACATTATGCATCTCATAGGATGATTTCGTGATAATTTATTCAATAACTTTGCAATCATTTCAATCAATTTTTGTGGCTCTTGTGATGTTGACATTCCTATATGAGCGATTATAATCCTCAGTATAAAATGTTTAACAATGAAAGAGACTACAATAATGTTAAATAAAATGCTGGGATTTAATGGTGAGTTGCGAACAACAACGTGTAAACCGAATATGTCCATAATTAAAGTTGAAGTTAAAATTGGAATTAAATGAACTGCAAATAAGCTGTTGATTTGTTCTATCGCGTCACAAAGATCATGAAATATTTCTCCAAAAAGATTGATGTTGAAACACTTTTTTGTGAAGTTTTCGTACCTAAATAGATAGATTGTTAATAATTAATCCAATTCACTTCAGAACAAACTTACCTTATTAATTCTTTCAATGAACTGAATCTCTCCCGAAGCAAATATGTTGGAAACACAAATTGAAGTGTAAATGCGGATATGTAGACTAAGAATCCAAAATAGCAAGTCTCATTTGCTATCATATTTCCATTTGTTTTGTATTGATCCACGTTTAAAATTGAGAATATTAAAATTGGTAGAAACCTCAATAATAATGTTGTGGCAATAAGTAAAGAGCTTCTAAAAATTATTTTATGATGTCGTTGATGATCAATTTTGACACACAATTTAAGGATCTTAATGTCGATTTCATCCATAAAATTGAAGAATTCTTTAATCTTCTTTGTTTTTATCATTTGGTATGTTAGCTGAATAATTATTGTTGGATAAGCAGCAACCAAAAACCATGACCAAATCATCATTCCTAGAAATGGTTGCTTCTCATTTATAAATATAATGTGGTTCCAGATGATGAAGATCATCATCACGAAAAGTATCAAAAACAATAAAAATTTCCAAACTAAACTTGGATATTTAAACTTAAACTTTCCATTCCTTATAGGTTTTCCAAAACTCAAAGGAAGTAAAGGAAAAAGTTTATAAAATGGTTCTATTGATGTTAAATAATTATCCATAACTTCCTTCATAACTGCTTAAACAGTTTAATAATTGTTACTCCTTAATTAATTGACGTACTCGACAGCTTGAATGAGGAAACTAAACTCAAGTTTATTATTATAAAAAGCTATTGACTTTAAAATGCATTAAGCAATTAAATGAATTTCAGGGGCGTGTTCGGAAACTGTCAGCTTTTTGTTGGTATGGATGTGGATGTTGAACTTTAAATTTGATATATGAATGTTATGTAAATGACTAGTTGATATTGTTTTAATGTGACTGAAGTCCATAAATTTAAATGGATGCTGATTGTTGAAACTGGCAGCTGGAATTAATTTAAAATCACTTACATTAATAAGAATATAAAGTTACAATAAACAAGACTAACATAATTATCAAATAAGTTACAGTTGTGGAAATTGTCTGAAATACAAATTAAAGTTTTCAATTATCTTAATCACAATATAATCTACATTTTAATTAAAATTACTCCAAGCACTATATTCCAATTAACTGTGAGAAACATTGCCTGAAGTTTCAAATTTCTAGTCTGAAATTGCTTCATTAAATCACATAATGAATGTCTTAAAGGATGAATTGATGACAACTTATTGACTAATTTTGCAATCATTTCAATCAACTTTTCAGGTTCTCTAGTGGCAGTTGCTCCAATGTGTGCAACTAAAACTCTCAGTATAAAATGCTTTAAGACGTAGTATAGAGTCATGATATTATAGAAAAGACTTTGCATTAAAGGAAAATTTTGAAATAATGCGTAGATTCCAAAAACATCAACAACAAGCATTGAAAGGAGAATTGGAATTAAATGGATGGTAAATAGAATGTTTATAGACTCGATTGAATCACAAATATCATGAAATACATCACCGTAAAGATTGATATTGATGAAACTTTCACTGAAGTTCTCGTATCTGGAACGAAACTTTTGTTTCTTCGACTTTAACATTGTTAAAAAATTTATCTTATACCTTAATAAATCCCTAAGCAAATTGAACCTTTCTCTTAGCAAATAAGCCACAAAAATGAATTGAAGAATAAAGAAGGTTTCATAAAATAAGAAGCATCCATAACAAACTTCCGATACTATCATATTAGCTTTAGTTTTAAAATGTTCACTATTAACAATTCCAAAAGTCAAAGACGTAATAAGTCTTGCAAATAAGGTCACAACTGCCAATATTGTGGCTCGTAAGATAACTTTTCGATACTGTCGATTATCAATTTTGATAAACAACTTCCTTAATTTTCCATCAATCTCATCCATAAGCTTGAAGAATCTGTGAATATTAGAAGTATTTCTGACATGCAATCCAAGTTGAACGACCATTACAGGATACAAGAACAACAAGAACCACGACCAAACTAGAAGTCCTAAAAATGGTTGATTTTCTGACAGAAATGTGATGTGGTTCTTTACGATTAAAATTATCATTCCACATAGAATTCCTAATACTGTAAAAC